TCACCGCGCCGCTTTACCGGGGGGCCGTGACAGTGCGCCTTACCTCTCCGAGGGGTCACTTGGGCACAGCTCGGCCACCCCCCGGGGGGGGGGGGGGGTGTCTTGGGGCCCTACCTGCAGGGCTGGAGGGGCAGCGAGGTCCCTCTTGCCCCCCGGGTACCAGCCGTGGGACCAGTGCTGGCCCGGGCAGCGGGGCACGGCAGAGGCCAGCAGCAGCAGCGCCAGCAGCAGCAGGGACCCACGGGGTGACATGGCTGGGGGGGGAGAGGGGTCTCTGTCCCACCGGCACCCACCCCAGGGGGGGGACCCGGGGAGGGGGGTGTGCTGCCGGGGGCTTGAAGGTGGAGGTAATGGAGGGGTGAGCACCCATTGGTGCTGCCTGGGGTGGGTTGGGTCCAGTGAAGAGGGAAACCGCAGGGTCCTGTTTGGGGATGGAGATGCTGGAGGGGATGAGCACCCTGGGGTGCTCTTTGGGGTTGGGGTTGGAGATGTTGGAGGGGATGAGCACCCTGGGGTGCTGCATGGGGTGGGGTTGCAGATCCTGGAGGGGATGAGCACCCTGGGGTGCTCTTTTGGGTGGGTTTGGGATGGAGATCCTGGAGGGGATAAGCACCCTGGGGTGCTGCATGGGGTGGGTTTGGGATGAAGGTGTCAGAGGGATAAACACCCATGGGTGCTCCTTGGGGTGGGCTGGGGATGGAGATGCAGAGGAGATGAGCCCCCCAGGGTGCTGCTGGGCTTTGGGTCCAGCAAGGATGCACCCCCCCCTCCAGGATGTCGTTAGGGTCTGATTTGGGGTGAGCAGAACCACCCGCCCCGAGGTCCCTGCGTGCTACCAGCTCCCACCCACCCACCACCCACCACTGGGGCAGCCTCACCTGGACGGGTGGACGTCGGTGGTGGTGGTGGCCGACTGGTGTGGTGGCTGGCCAGGCTGGGCACTGCTATTTGTAGGGCTGGCCGAAGGTGACGTCGGCCCCGCTGCCGCTCCCACTGGGGACAGGACCTTGCTGATGGCGTCGGCCTCCTCGTGCCAGCGTCTGTCGCCTCCTTTACCCCCCCCCCCAAATCCCCTTGGCACTGCGGGACAACACCCCAACACCTCTTTTTTTGGGGAGGGGGGGTGAGTATGGTGGTGTCTGTCCTGCTGACCCCTCTCTGGCTCAGATGGTCCCCAGCCCTGTGGCCAACACGCCCAGGAGTCGCTTTGCAGCCCCCCAGGGATGCTCTTGGTGAAGAGGAGGAGCAAACCCTCTGTGCCTCAGTTTCCCCACCCAGCACCGGCCCCGATTTCACCATTTCTCCCCCCATTTCAGCTTCATCGCCCCCACACCGGAGCCAGATGCTGGCAACGGCCACGCAGCCCAAAGCCCAGCCCGCGGGATGCGACGGAGCCCGGGAAAGGGATTTTGAGAGGATCCATGCCCGGATTATCTCCAGCAGCTGCTCACATCCCTGCTATTTGCAGTGGGATGCGGCAGCAGGATGGGGCAGATGCCACGGCGAAAGGTCAGGGCAGCTCCCCAGACCCCAAAATACCTCTGTCCCTGCAATGATCCCAGGAAGGAAGGAAAAAAGGGGAAAAAATGTCATTAGTACCACTGGGGAGCAGCCAGTGCCCAGCAGGTGGAGGGATGGAGCTGCTAGGGATGGTCCGTGTCCCCAGGGAGAGCATGGCTCCCCCCTGCCGCCATCCCAAGAGGGTCCCTGTGTCTTTTGGGGTCAGCACATTTACTTCCGAGCGTGACTTAACAGCTTTGGCCAAAAGCCCCCCAAATTCAGGAGTCACAGTTCATTAACGAAGTGATGATGTTGGGGTTCACGACGGGGTGCCAGGTGATGGAGCGAGGACAACAGCAGCAGCGAGGTCCCTTTGCCTGTGTGCCCCCAACTGAATCACCCCCACCCTGGGAAGTCCCCCCTGGATGAAAGTCGATGTTGGAAAACTCAGATACTCCGACTCACGGGGTGGCTTTCCCCATGATTTCCTAGATTTCAACCCCATGTCCCTTGATTCTTCCCTTGGCTGGACAGGGATGTCACTGTCCCCAAGCCCTGCCACCCCTCCGTGCTCCCCATAACCGCCTGGGGTACCCGGCCAAATCCTTGGGCTGAAACCTCCGCTCTGACCC